GTTAGCAGCGCTTGTCGCGCCCCGTTAGCAGTGCTCGTCGTGCCCCTTAGCAACGCCCGTCGCTTCCATTAGCAGCGCTGTCTGCGCCCCTTAACAGCGCCTGTCGCGTCCATTAGCAGCGAACGCAATCTTAGCCTAGGACTACCTGCAATGTGCCAGCCATCGTGATCGCCGCTTAGGAAGATCTGGAATGCGCCAGCCAACGAGACATTAGCTTAGGACGACCTGCAAAGGGCCAGCCAACGAGACGGCCCCCCAGGACACCTTGTAGTGAGTTTAGGGGCAAAATCACTGCTTAGAGCACCCTGCACGTGTTGACAAGAAAGGGCCCGCCCACGCTTGGGCGAATTCGACCTCGTCGTCGATATTGAGGGACTTCTATCGAAGTGTGACGAAGCGTCTGCCGATGAGATGCTGATCGAAGGGCCTTCGCTGGCCGACGAAAGTGGTCGTCGACGAGGCGCTGGTTGACAATATTAAATCAGTGTCGTGGACGAGTCTCGCTGGTCGACAAAAGTGACTGTCGATGAGATGTTGGTCGACGGGATTATTATTGATGGCGGCATCGACCGAGCGGAGCCTTTTCTATCGACCATATTTTCATGTCCACAAATTTGACCCATTAGGGCACAGAGATCTCGATCAGAACGATATGTACCATCAATACCGCAATGGTCAACCTAGGAGTCGTTGCGGAAGTAGTAGATAGTCTGCTGGGGCATGAGGCTGCCGTACGGGAGCGTCACCAACATGATGAAATCAGCGATGTGGACTGTCAAACTATACTTGTTACAGTTTGTTAGTTTAGTTTAGGTGTTACACTGGGTTACTCTCTACAAGGTACAAACCTTTTAGGGTTTCCTATATGTTTGCTTGTACTTCTCTCGTCTCTCATCATTCATTTTTCCGTTCACTTCTTAACAAGGACCTCGTGCACGGTGGGTGCACGAGCACCCACTACCCCGTGCTGCAGTGGATGGTGAGTCCGCCTCTCCCCGAGCTGAAGATGACGAAGGCGACGGCAATCTTGTCGGCAGCGAAGGCGTAAGGGTTGCGGTGGTGCGATTTGAGGACTTGTTAGAGCCAAAGTCATCGGCGTCGACGGGACGCAGGCGCAAGCGCTGCGGTCGGCGGCTGCAGGAAGCGCGAGTGGTGACTGTCAGAATCCCAGCCACTACACCATTGGGATTAAAAAGCTTGTTTAGTAGCAAAACCCCCCTGGCAAACGTGTCTGTATCCCTTCCCTAAGATCAATTGGGGATCCCCAGTGAAGGTCTTCTGACACCCCCCCTCACTGGGATGCCCTAGGGCATGGACGCCAGCATGTGCGCACATGGGGATTCGGACCTGAGACCTTCGCTCTGATACCATGTCAGAATCGTAGCCACTACACCAAATGGATTGTTTAATTGCGGTGGAGTGCGCCCATAATACCACAGGCAAGCGTGCATGTGACCCTTCCCTAGGATCAATCGGGGATCCCCCTGCAGGTCTTATGACCGTGATGTCGCAGGTCAACGACCGCTCACCACGGCGAAGTGGAGACGGGTCGACATGGGTGTCGAATATGTCTGTCAGACGAGATGGCGGCATGGCCCCGGAGTACGACTACTTCATTTTTTCGAAGGACAAAATTGCCATGCACAAGCTGCTCGAAGGCCGAGTTGACCTGACGACTTGGACGGAGCCGAATGAGTCGCAGTTTGAGATTACGCAGCTTAGGAAGTTTACCGACGACACCTTGGAGATGCCAGACGATGACGACGTCCAGAGGCGGACACAATTTCGCTCCACGCACTCGCTGACATTAATGGCTTATCGACTTTGTGAAGACGCTTTCAAGCCTGGCAGTGCATCATGTAGACGTACAAGGTGATCGGCGACCTCTACATCGGCCAACTTGAGCAGCGACTGACGAACCTCGACAAGGGAGCGCCGCGACGGTTTACTGCAACCGCACATCGACTTGTGGATGGCCAGAGTCGACTATGTGATCGTACATCAAGCACGTCATCAAGGAAATCCCCGGAGGCTGCAATCTGCTGCACCGATTGTGAACCTCCCTGGCTTGCGCGAGCAGCTCACCGAAGACACCTTGTCAAGCTTCATTATCAAGAAGGTGTTCATGCATGCGTGCTCCCCACTGAGGTCGATGACACCTTGTCGCGCTTCATCATCAGCTGCTCGCCACCGAGGTCAATGATAAGCCTGATGCCCCTTCCCCTCCTCCTCCTCCTCACGTTTACCCACCGAAGTCACTTCTCCTCCATTGCTCGTCGCCTCCTACCGCGATGACTTCTCCTCTATCGCTCGTCTCCGCTTCGACGTACGCCACCAGCGATAAGAGGAGCGGCAATGCATCACCTTTGGCGCTACACATCGGCATCGACGGCGGTAGACGTGACGTGGTCGGCGGCGAGCAAGGCAACGATGCGAGGAAGCCGTCGACAAGGGAGTCATAAATAAGGGAGAAGTTGATATGGGAGTTGTTCACGAAAATTCATCGAGCAGTCGTTGTGGGCGACTACCCCTGCTACACCACAGTATCTTCCCTTGAGCGGAACGCTGACGTGCCTGGTGCTCTCATCCAATGGCTAGTAGCCGACCAAGGCCAGCGCACCCTGTCTGTGCTTCATGTTTAATCCGACCGTGGTGGCGAGTTCACCTTCAGTCTCCTTGCCGAGTTGTTTAGTGCGGAGAGCATCATCCAGACTTACAAGCTCCCGAAACCGCCGCAGCAGAATGGGGTAGCAAAGTGTCGCATTACCTTAAGGTGATGGAGATCGCGCACACATCTATGTGTCATGCACGTGGCCCCCCATTTTCTATGGCCAATTGCAGTCCACTACGCTGCTCACCAGCTTAACTTGTGGCCGAGGTACCCCGGTTCCCTCCCGTCCCATGCTTCTCTCTCCCACCCCCCCCCCCCTCTGGTCCCACACCTTTGGTTGCTCACCTGCCTCCACGTCCGCCTCATCTGGTGTGTCACACGTCACCCCTCTTCCCTCGATTGGGCCTGTGGGGAGACTGCTGCCTCTTGGAGCCCGTTACGTGGGGGTGTGCCTCCTATGTCACCTCCTTCGCTGCGGTCCCTGCCGTCACCCACGTCGTCACCCGCGTTGTCCTCGCAGTCGCCGCAGCAGCCTTCTTTGGCGCCTCAGCTGGTCGCTGTGGACACTGGTGGTGCTGGTTATGGGGGTGCTGACGCTGTTGGTGCTGGCTCCGAGGGCCCTACCGTAGGAGGTACTGGTTCTGGGGGTGCCGCGTGCACAGGACGTCTGCAGCGGCAGCAGCCGTTGCAGCCGCAGAAGACGTCGTCGCCACCTGTGATTGCACTTCGCCTTTTTTGTCTTCCTTACCCTTCGATTGACCACCCACTTCCCTCCTCCTCACCATCTTTCCCAGTCTACAGCCCCATGTTTCCTCCTGCGGCCTCGCCTTCGGCTAGTTCTCCTCCTCGGTCACGGCTGTCTCCTCCTATGTTTCCTATCTCGACTCCTGACTCTCACACCCGGGTCCATCGTTCCGTATCTCCCGTTCCCGCTATCCACTCTTTGCACCTTCTTTCTCTCCTTCCCTCGTGTTCTACCACATGATATTCTCCCGTTATCTCCTGCGTCGTCCCTTACTGCCTCCTCTACTCTATTCTCTGACTTCCTCCATGTCGCTCCTATCGTCTCCAGTGTCCTTTCATCCCTCGCTACTGACCCTATTGCTCCTCCACCGTCTGTTATCGTTGCTGTCGCTGAGGCGCGAGCGCAGGAACAGCGAATGCGTGCGACAGTGGCACAGTAGGCACAGGCGACATGCGGCTGACGTGGGCGGCACGCTGGCGGGCGCCTGCTGGCACAGCTCTGGTGCAGCTGGAGTGGCCGGTGCCGCTAGCACAGGCGCGGGCTGGCGCGAAGGCAGGGCGTAAACTGGCGCGCGGCGGGCTGGCGCAGTTGGCTAGGGCGGGTGCCCTAGGAGGGCGTTGGAGGGCATGCAGGATGACATGCTTCAGTACCGCCTTTGGAACTGGGAAACATGCCCCGTGTGTGTGGGACATGGTATGTTGTGTGTTTGCATGCCATGCCACGCCCATGCTATGCCATGCCATTACCAGTCAATCCTTCGCATGTACATCCCGTGCTGCCCCTTCTCAAAGCACCATCCTAGGCCAGTGCTACGAACAATACGGGGCTGGCGCGGCGAAGGGGGCTGTAGGGGCTGCATGGGGTTGCTCTAGGGGCCGCGATGGGGGCGCTCTAGGGGGCGCAACGGAGGCGCTTTAAGGGCGTGACGGAGGCGCTTTAGAGGTGCGACAGGGGCGCTCCAGGGGGCGCGACGAGGGAGCTCTAGGGGCCGCGACGGGGGGCGCTCTAGTAGCCGCAACGGGGGTGCTCTAGGGGGGCGATGGGGGCGCTCTAGGGGCCGCGACGGGGGTGCTCTAGGAGGGTGCAAAGTGGGCGCTCTAGGGGGCTAGCGAAAGGGCGCTCGAGGGGCAACCGGGAGAAAGCGTCATGAGGGTAGCTTGGGTAGGCAAAGCGGAAGTGGCGACCTCAACTAACATAATCTGACACCATGTTAGCACATAAAGGAATGCTAATGAGGGCATACAGATGTGAACCAGTACCAATCTTGTACCCGCTACAGAATAACCCCACATAGCCTAAAATGTGCACATACAAACGATGTGTGTAAAATGACTAATCACAACTGTATGCCATCTTTCCGGTCATTCCTTCTTTCATTTACAGTGCTTTGCTGCAACTTGACAATGGAATTCTATGGAAAAAAATTATTGACACGAGCATTACTTGATCTGGTGCTAAACTTAAAGCCCAAGACCCGAATTACAAAAAAAGGAGGCAAACTGTGCACAGTTTGCCTCCCGCAGCCCACAGTTTTGCCCCGCGTTGACTTGCGTTGAGTAATTCAGGTCTTGGGCTTTAAAATCCATACATCACTTTATCGGCACTTGCCACGAGTCTTGTAGCCCAAAGAGTGCCTTTAATGGTTTAGCCGAGCATCAACATGCCATCCACATACACACACGCAGTGTGCCTGGATGCATGCAGAGCAGCGTCAAGGGCGTGGGTGGTGTGTGCCGCCCATGAGGCTGATGTGCTCGCACAGGCGGCAGGGCAGCGTGTCGAGAGACATCTGGCGCGCTCTCGAGTAGTTGCCATACACTCCACACCTGCTGCCGCCACCCCGGGGGCAGTGGATGAAGGATGTGGGAGGGAGAGGGCGGGGAGCAACCTTGAGTGGGGGGCGCATGACGCAAGTTGGGATAGAGGAGGGGAAGGCCAATGGTAGGGAGGTCATGTGCATGTGTGCAAGTGCAGGCAGGCATGGGAGATGCATGCTTGCAGCGCATGAGGGAGGCAAGGCAAGCAGGGCAGCAGGCGGTGCAGGTCAGAGTGGCATGACCACAGGCATGAGAGCAGCTGCAGTGCACTGCAGGCACAAGGGCGCAGCAGGCGAGGAGCACTCTCACACACATGCTTGCTGCTGGAGGAAGCATTGTGCGGATTTGAGAGCTCTGGCACATGAGAGAAGCGGGAGAGAGGGGGAGGGAGGAGAGGGCGGGCAGGGCAGGGCGTGCACCTGCGCCAGGCATGGTAGCCCATGTACTCGAGGGGGTCCGCTGCTATGCGCCTCACCATGGCGCCCAGATCCGCAGGCGACAGCCCTGACGCGTCAATGTACGAGTCGGGGGGCGCAAACGCTGCGATGTCTGGCGCTCCTATGTAGATGGGCACCGTGCCTGCATTGCACATGGACATATTGGATGCAGCAGAGCAGTGGGCGCAGAGGGGACAGGCAGGCAGCAGCAGGCAGGTATGCACACGATGGGGGCAGTGCACACAGGCGAAGGCAGGAGCAGCTCTCCCCATTGACTGGATTTGCTTTACCGCATTGCATAGCCTCAAGACATCACACCCCCATCCCCGCCCACCTGTGCCCCTCGAGCCCCGCCACCACCCGGCAGCCTCACCAGCTTCCAGCGGGTAGAAGAACTTCTCGGTGACATAGCCGGGCGCACGCGTGTTCTCAATGGCGAGCGAGAACAGGTAGTGCGACTGCACGCAGTGCGTGTGGTGCTGCCACCGCTCCTGCGCGCCGTACGTGTGTGCGCAGTGCGGGTAGAGCTGCAGCTCGCTGCCGTGCTGTGCGGTGGTGGAGCGGCACGCGCCAAAGGAGTGCATGGGCACGTGCTTCATGAGCTCCTTTACTAGTGCGTCCCGCCATGGCACGAAGTTGGACACCGCGTGGAACACTGGCACATCCTGGGTGGGGAAGGGGGGAGAAGGGGGAGGTGGGGGAGAAAGGTAGGTGGGGGAGAACCGGGAGAAGGGGAGAAAGGGGAGAGGGGCGTGGGGGAGAGGGGAGGAGGGAGCAAGGTGATGCATGTGTAACAGGTAGGGGAGTGGAGCGACGGAGGGCAGCATTGGCTGTGCGTGACAGCCAGAAGCAGCGGACTGGCAGCGGGATGCGTGTGGCAGCATGCGGAGAAGGAGCAGTGGGGTTTGGGAAGAGCGGAGGATGGCGGAACGGGGGGAGGAAGAGGCGGGGGAAGGTGCGTGTGCGGTGGCTCACAGTGCGTTTGTTGTCGGCAATGTAGCGCTGGCGGTCCCAGTGGAACAGATGCCCCGCATACGTCGCCTGCACCGTGGCGTTCGCACCGTACCCCACAAACACATCCACCCCCGCCCTCGCACCCACCCTGTCACTCCCCTCCCCTCCTTCCCCCACCTTTCCGTCCTTCCCCTTCTCCCCGGTCCCAGCCTTCTCCCCCTCTCCGTCAGTCCCTGCGGGGGGTTCACCCCAGGGGTGGGCCTCGAGGTTCATGTAGACGTGCAGGGGGTGGGCGGGCTTGGAGGGCGAGGGCGGCAGCACGCCCTCGAAGAGCAGGGCGTCGGGGTGCGTGGCGAGGGGGCGCGCACGCGTGAAGGCGCAGGAGAGCGGGCAGGGGTGGCACGCATGCACGCCCTCGATGATCGTCTCCTGCACCCACGTGCTGTTCTCCACCTGGTGCTTGGAGCGAGGGGTGCGGGGGTGGGACGGAGAGTTGGAGGTGCGAGGGAAGGAGGGAGGTAGGAGAGACGAAAGGTGGAGGGGAGTGGGGGGTATGAGTTCGTATGAGAGGGCTGCGGTGCTCGTTTGTGTGCGCTGCAGCGGATGAGTCTAGCATAGAAACTGGAAGAGGGAACTGGGAGGGGCGCATGGGGAGAGGCGAGGAGTGTGTGTGGGGGAAGGTGCAGCAGCGACGGCCTGCCTGCCATGCACACAACTGCCTCACAGGCATGGCGCGGGGGACCAGTGTGTGCACGGCATGGCACCCACATGTGTGCATGCTGGGTGCAGGTGGTGCAGTGGCGCATGCGGTGGCAGCAGGGGTTGTGATTTACCCGCACGGTGACGTGTGGCAGCTTGAGGCGATGGCAGTGCGCGGGGTTGATGGTCGCCTGTAGGCTGGGCGATGGTGGTTGCCAGTCAGAGGGCCGCCAGCCATGGATGCTGGCTGGCGGCACGTGGATACATGCACGCATGTACGTACACATCACACACAGCCGCATGCAAGCACGCCGCCCCCACATATGCAGACACCCATACAGATGTGGATGCAGAGACACACATGGAAGACAACGATTTATCCAGCAGCCTTGATGGGCGGCTGGTTCCGGCTGATCGAGCTGTGCAACAGCAAGAGCAAGAGCGTTGTGTGTGAGGTAGCAAGCAGCACAAGGTGCACTGGCAGCCGAGATGCGGCAATGGCGGCGAGAGTGGGCTGGCTTGACACGCCTAATGGCTGATTCACGGCGAGGAGGGCGCTACAAGAGGAGGGGAGGGGTGGGGAGAGGAGGGGAGAGGAGGGCAGAGGAGGGGAGAAAGAGGGGAGAGGAGGGAAAAGGGAGGGAGTGGGTGGCATGGCAACACAGGAGTTGTGGGCAGCAACAGGGGTGGAGGTACGACGGCGGGGCGAAGGAATGGATCGATGGGGTAGTTGGATGGGTGTGTGGTGCGGAGAGGGGTTGGAGGAAGGGAGTTGCAGGGCGTGATGGGGCCATGGGGGTTGCGCACCGCACCGTTGTGTTTGGCTCTGAACTTGGAGCACCCCACACGGCGGTCCCACCGTCTGCCCGCCGCCATCACGTTGAACCGCAGCACGTCCTCCAGCCGCACGTGCGCCCCGCCCTCCCCCGCGCCATCCCCGCCCTTCCCGCCGCCCGCCTTCCCCCGCGTGCGCGCGCGCGCGGGCTCCGCGCCGTCGACGGGCAGCGTGGCGTCGATGAACTGGTCGTCAGCGTCGCTGATGCGTGCGTCCGGCTCGGGGTCCGAGTTGTTGTACGCCTTCACCTCGCGCGCCCGCCGCTGCCCGCCGCCGTTCCCGTTCCCGCTCAGCGCGCTCCACCACCGCCACGACCACCACGACGAGTCGCCGCTCAGCCTGTACTCGCTATCGTTCTCCCCGTTATCTGTTTCGTCGCTCAAATCCTCGTTATTGTAATCTCGGATATCCGCTGCTCTGAGAGAATTACGCGAGCGGAGCAGCAGCACGTTGACGGCGGTGAGAGCGGCGATCGCGCCAACGAACAGCAGCAGCACGCGCCGCCGCCGCGACCGAAACAAGTGCCCACCGGGCCGGGCGGTCCCCGGCTGCCGGCGCCGGCCCGCGAATCGCGGCCGGGCGGCGGATCCGTCGACGAGGCTCCCCGAGCTGCCGATTCTACCGGCCGCGCCCCTGCTGGTGGTGGTGGCGCGCGCACCGCTCACGGCGCCAGCGCGCATGGCGTCGGGCGCTGCTGCCGACGACGGCAATGCGAGCGCGCGATGCGATGCCGAGGCGTCGAGTCGGCTTGTGAACGTCGCTCGGTCGCGCGCGTCGCTCGACGAGGGTGCGCGTGGCTGCATGGCGGGAGGGCGCACCGTCACGCAGGGCTGGTGCGGCGAGGGGACGCGAGGCGAGACGAGGAGGAGTGATCAGCGGTGACGCGTGCTGGGACGTCCTTCGGCGCGCTGCTCGAAAATTTGCGTCCTTCCACCGTGTGTCAGCTAGATCGCCTGTGCCACACAAACGCGGGAGGAAGTACGTGGGACGAAATTATGCGGTGCCATTGACTATATCTGAACGTGGCTCAAAACTACCGACTGGCTTGTCCGCACCTTTACCAAAGACGAAATTGTGCGACGCGACCGATCAATTCCGCCTACCACCCTCGCAGGCAAGGGGGCGCCCGGCCCTTCAGCTCCAGTTTCCCCGCGAACAATGACAACGAGTACTTCGAGCTTGCCGCCATGGCCGTCTGCCAGTAGCCTGACAAGCACATTTCGTAAAAATTACTTACCGTCTGGCTTTGATTTCACCAGCATTATAAGGATTTACAATCCTTACTCTAGAACCTGGGCTGATTTTATCAGGGTAATTACCCTGATTTCAGGGTGATTACAGGCATCTCACTTGGTGGTCCCTGCAAACTCAGTTTTTTTTACTTGTGAACTCTGATCCAATCAGAGAAGATACTTAACGAACTCTGAAATCTTTTAACTAGGCTCAGAGTAGTGTGCTTACGGACTCTGTCTATGTAGAGTATGCGTTCGGTGAACCCTGAATGCGAGGGTATCGGGAGGAAGGTTCCTCGAAGTTTCCTTACGATAACCCCCTTGTGCGTAATCATTACTTCGCGTGCCCCCATGTGAGGTACCCCCTTCACGCGCAGGAGAGTGACGTAATACTGACAATGAAATGCACCGCCGTGCTGTACATCGCAGCTGGCAACAGCGACAACGCACACAAATCAATCATATCTTGCTGCCACGCGCACCGCACAGTGCATGGCATGCATCTGCCATTGGCCAGAACGGCCTCTTGACAGCATGCGGTGGCAGGCAAGCAGACCGTCAATGAATTCGACCTTGAATGCAAGGTCGAATTCATCGTCGAATGCTCCCATCAAGTACCTGGAGTCGCGGCGCGCTGGTTTCTTGCTGACCCCGCCTTCTCCAACCTTCCGTTCCCTCCCCCTACCAACAGCCATGGTTCATTTGGTCGCTGCTGTTTTCTTTCCATTCCGTGCATTCAGTCTCTCAATTTCCTCTCCCACCGTTTAGCTAGCAATCTCGCCGCCATGGAGGCCATGCCAGACGACGACGCTGCTCCTGAGACTGGCCCTGACGAGCCACCTTTACCGGTGAAACCCACCGCGCCGTCCGAGACGGAGAAAGCATCCGTTGGCCCCCGCTCTGGGCTCGATTTTCTTAGAGCTACGGCTGCTCCCGTCACACCAGAACCGCCTAGGTCCATCGTTCATGACTCAGCCGCTATAGTAACCCCTGCTCCTTCAGATTCTCCTCGTCCTGTCGCGTTCACTCTCCCCCCGGCTGTTGCTGGCTGTAGCAAAGATCCCCCACCGCCCTCGCCCAGTCCCACTCCAAGCACGGTGCGGGTGTCCCTTGGCCCGCCGTCGGCGTCTTCCACTCCCAAGCGTGCGCGATCTGGGAAGTATTCGCAGAGTACTTTGGTGGTGGGAGGCCGTCGTATTCCACCGCTTGAAAAGCCGGCTGAGCCTCCACAGAAAGAAGCTGAACTGCCGGAGGAAGGTGACATCCCGGTGCGGGCGGAAACCGGATCGCCCGCACTCACGAAGGCGCAGATGCGAGAGCAGATGTACCTGGAGGCGAGTATAAATTACGACACGAAGTGGGCGGGATACTTCTCATGGCTGGTGTTTGGGAAAACCAAGGACGGCTTTCCCTACGTGAAGTGCAGCATCTGCATGTCGTACGGGAAGGGGAACACGAGGTATGCCATGCAAGGTGACGATGGAGGCCGTGACTTGCAGACGCAGTCGTTCCGGGCACACGAGCATACGGACGCACACAAGGCGGCGGTGGACCGGCAGATGAAGATTGCGGCGGGAATCCGCGAGGGGCAGCAGGTGATTTCGGACTTCATCAACTCCGACGTCGAGGGCCGCCGCGCGATTCGACTGATGCGGTCGACTCAATTCCTGTGCCAGTGCGACGCGCCGATTAGCATGTTTCCAAGGCTGATGCGGCATCTTGCGGAGCAGGACACGCCAGACATTCCCCGGCAGTCGTACGGCGTTTATCTGACGCGGTAAGTGACGCTTATAATTGATTGCAAAGACAAACATGGAGCTCGCATCCTTGCTTGAGCGGCGTTTACTCATAATTTCTCTGTCCTTTTTTGCAGCTACGGCTTCCAGCAGATGGTCCACAGCATCAGCACTTACCTCACGCGGGTGCAGATGGACCACATCCTGGCATCACCGTTCCTGGGCATCCAATGCGACGAGAGCACTGACCGCACGCGAGGGAAACACATGATTGTGTACCTTACGTTTCTAAAAAACCGCCAAGTTGCATGCGAGTTTTTCACTTTGCTGACGATCGAGCGGTGTGATGCAGGGTCTTTGTTTGAGGTGCTTCTGAACCATCTCCGCTCCGCTGGTGTCGATGTGTCCAAGATCGTCGGCATCAGCACGGACGGGGCGTCGGTTATGACCGGGAGAGAGAACGGATTGGTGGCGCGTCTTCGTGAACACGACCCACATCTGTTTTCATGCCACTGCATCGCTCATCGGTATGTGAGTTGGTCTGTTGTATGGGTGGTTATCTACGCTGATTGGTTTTCTAACAAACCATGATATGTGTTCCCTGCTTTTCACAGTGAGGCGTTGGCTGTGAAGGACGCCGCGGAGTCAAACCCGGATCTCGGCATGGTCGACAAGGTGGTGCGCACCGTCGCGACGCTGCTTGGAAACTCCAGCGTGTGGAGTCAGCGGTTCAAGTACCTGCAGCGTGTGATTTACAAGACCAACCTGGAAGTCCAAGGGATCCACACGGTGCGGTGGCTGTCTCGAGGAGATGCGGTGGGCAGGCTTTGCAAGGTCCTCGGCGCTTGCATCGTGCTGCTCTGGGAGCACAATCACAAGGCGTACAAGATTGTGACATGCTACAAGTTTCATTTCTGCTTGTTTTTCTTGGCCGACATCTTGGCGGACATGAACGACCTCAACCGCTGCTTCCAGAGACGTGAGGTGAGGTCGAATGTTTATATGATGTTGCGACGTGAGGTTCCTAACTGCTCTGTTGCTCAGCCTACTCCCTGTTGTCTTCCCCTGCTCTGACACAGCTGGACGTGACTAAGATTGCGAAGACGATCGAGTCTACCACGGGTGACCTGACGGAGCGCTACTTGACGCCAGAGAAAGCTTTCGGGGGCGAAGGGAAGAGCTGGCTGGTTAACTTCCTCAAAGTCCACAAGGAGGGTGGAGGCAAGCAGGTCCGGGTGCGAGGCGTGGACGGTGCTGGACGCCCTATCAACCACCTGTACACCATGCATGAGCGGAAGCTGAAGGGGCACAAACACGGAAGCACCTACGCAGACTGCGTGAAGCTGTGCCGAAACTTCGCCCGTGACTGCGTGGACAACCTCAACGACCGGCTGGATGACCTTGGGAAGCTGGGGCCGACGAAGCTGTTCCGGGCGGGGAAGTGGCCGAAGATCAAAGCCCAGCGAGAGAAGAAGTGTAAGGAGTGGCTGAACGGATGCAGCAGGCTGTTCCGCAACAAGCTGCCGGGATTCGACCTCAAAGCAGCCGAGAGCGTTCAGCGCGATCATGGAGACACACCATGAGATGGAGAGCTTCACCCAGGGCCTGTCCAACTTCCTTGGGAGCGCAGACTCGAAGAGGTAGCCTATACTATGATTAAAAGAGTTTTACACTGTTGATGCGCGTCGCTAACTGTTTCCGTTGTGTTGTGTTTACGAATGTGCCTGGCAGGAGATGGCCCAACCTCATCCTGCTGTGGCAGGCGCTGGCTGTGCTCCCCCTCTCCACCGTGGAGTGCGAGAGTGGGTTCTCCAGGCAGAACGTGATCAAGTCCTGGATCCGAGGAGCGCTGTGCAACGCGCGTCTGGGGGAGCTGATGCAGATATCGCTCCTGAGGTATGAGATCGACTGGCCGGAGGCACTGGAGGTGTGGAGGTCCCTGCAGAGGAGGCGCCCTGCGAAGAGCTTGAAGCTGGCTGTGGCAGAGAGGGAGAGGAAGGGGAAGCAGAAGGAGGGTGAAGATGTGGCTGCTGGAAATGCCGGGGAGAACGAGGATGAGGGGGAGGAGGAGGAGGACGATGAAGTGGAACAGGCCTTCGGCGACGATCAGGAGATCGTGGGGGAGGAGGAGGAAGCGGAGGATAATCCATTCCTGTCGGACGATGAGGACGTCGAGGAGGTGTACTTCTTAGACAAGACCGTGCACTAGACTAGATAGCCTAGGCAAGGCAAGAGCATGCAGTTGTAACATTTTGGAAAGTAGTGCAATGTTAATAGCAACCCTGTTTTTGAGCTGTGAACCCTGTCTGGTCAGAGTAGGACTTTGTATGACACAGAGCTATCAGAGTAGCTACCTTGCGAAAAATGTGCCCTCATAATAGAGGGGCAAAATTTTTAGTGGAATCAGGGGGTCCTAAAACGAAACGTCAGCCCTGTCTAGAACTCGTTAGGGAGTACAAACCCGACGCGACAAACCAGTTCGGCCTATTTCGTTGGCCAAACCACCCCCGAGTCGCCTCCGCGCCAATCGCAACCCTTCCGAGCCAGCCTCGCCCGACCTCCCCGCCTAGCTTGGATTTTCCCTTTTTAGTCTCGTTGTTTTCATTGTATCTGTTATTAGTTGTAAAAGAGAGTGCGCTAAATAACAAATATCGAAGATGTGACTCAATAAACTGACAATACAATGAAGGCACGCGCTAATGTAGTGACTACCCTAGCTATGAGGGAACCTCGGAAAACGAGGTTGGGTGCAGGTTTGGCGATCGAATGACCGAAGGCGACGCGGGGCAGCTTCGGCATCGTGGATGTCGGCCGAATGTGCAAAGTCCGAAAATCGGAGTTGTACTCGTAGCAGTCGAGCCCGATAAGGAATTCGGGAAAATTCCTTGCACTACCCCCCCCCCCCTTTAAGAAAGGTGGTCAATATCCACAGCTCGCTCGCGGGCGAGATAATCACCAACGAGCGGGGACGCTTCAAGCGACGCGGATGGCACCCAAGTGTCGTCTTCACTGGTGCGATCAGTCCAACAGATTAAAATATCCACGTGGCGTCCAGCAGCGTCGAGCCGAATACGATGCGCCAAAATCTTGGACGAATCGATTGTTGGTTCTGCGACAGGTCGAGCTGTCGGGGCGGCGTTCTGGCGCGCGATGTCTATCGTGGGCAGGCACGAACTTGCGAAGGAGGCTGATATGGAAGGCGTCATGTATACGCCAATCGTCGGGTATCAGCAGCTTCGCGGTGACAGGTGTCACCATCTGGATGATCTTGAATGGCCCACCGAATCGTGGCCGTAATTTTGATGAGCCGGGTAGGCGAAGGTTCTTCGTGGCGAGCAGCACTAGTTGCCCAGCTGTCATGATGATTTCTCGTTGTAGAAGATCCGTTTTTTATTCTGGGCAGTAGTATTAGCCTTGCGAATTGCATCGGCTGCTTTTTCGCGAATCTCCTGAAGTTCCGTCACACATGTTTGTGACCTTGGGACCGGGTTGTCAAGTGAAGTCGTTGTCAGCACGACCGAATACATCTCGTATTTAAGAAGATCGGGGAGTGATTAGTCGTACTGGACGGGGCGTTGTTGAACGCGAACTCCAGCATCGCGAGCGAAGTCTCCAACGAGCGGGGTCACGGCAGTTCGTCCTGATCAGCTGCTCCATCGTCTGATTGGTCCGCTCGGTTTGCCCGTCGGTTTGTGGGTGGTATGCTGACGAAAACTGTAGCTTCGTGCCGTACTGCGCCCACGTTTCCTTCCGTGCAGTCGCACGACGGTCAAGATGAAGAGGCGCAGTTTCTTCGGCTGTGATTGTTGCACGACGCGGTGCGAAGTGCGCCATTTTTGTGAGGCGATCGACGACGACGAGGACAGAGTCGTTGCCGGACGGGCCAGCTGGCAGCCCAGTGATGAAATCCATCGTCACCTGTTGCCACGGTCGTTCGAGTGGCTCGAGGGGTTGTAGCAATCCAGCTGGTCGTTGTCGTGTCGATTTCATGGCTTGGCACACCCTTCTTGAGGACGCATATCGCTGCACGTCGTTAGCAGAATCAGGCCAATAGTATTGACAGTGCAACAGCTTCTGGGTTTTATCAACTGTTAGAATCAACAAGAGTGGATGAATTAGGAAAGGGGTTGGTACAAGTAGGAAAACCTAAACTTGCTGTACCCCATAGTAACTACCCCACTACAGCCTAACCAAACTGTAGAGTATATGTTTCACACACCCCCATAGGCAAAGTGGGGGAGAGCAAGGGGTCACAAGACCAGTCAAGAAAAGCAAAGCAAGCCCAGGGTGGATCACAACGTCACCACGCATTCTGAGCACAAGCAGATGGCCACAAGGCCAGTTCACATGCATAGTTATATAGCATAGAACAAACAGGACAGTGATCAAAACCTAGCAAGTGAAAGCATGCAGGTATAGATATATAGATCACAGTACAAGCAAAGTCAAGAAGTGAGTAAGTGAGGCAAGGTAGGCACAAGGCCTAGAACAGTACAGAAACGCTGATGATCACAAGGCTGAAGTGCCTTGGTGAAGACATCAGCAGTGTTGGCCCGAGTGGCCACGTAAGCAAGACGAAGCTGACCACGCTGCTGCAACTCTCGAGCAAGGAAGTAGCGCAGAGCGATGTGCTTCGTTCTGTGCTCCAGTCTGTGCTCCTGACACAAGGCCAGCATGGCCTTGTTGTCGACGTACAGCACTGGAGGACAACGAGGTGGCTCTCCAAGGTCGGTCAGCAGGTAGGTGAGCCATCGTAACTCCTGTGCAGCCATGGCCCCCGCGTAGATCTCAGCCTCACAACTGGAGCTGAGAACAGAAGACGAGCGGGTAGACCGCCAAGAAACAGAGCCGGAGCCAAGGCTGAAGGTGTAACCCTGTGACGACCGCTGCGTAGCCAAGTCGTCTGCCCAAGAAGCGTCTGCGTGACCAGTGAGGACAACTGGACCTCGTCCTCCAAGCACGAGCCCCATGCCCGACGTACTGCACAAGTAGCGCAACACCCTCTTAGCAGCATCCATGTGCTCCTTCCTGTGTCGGCCAGGAGCAACATAGCGTGCTAGGATGCTAAGAGGGTAGGCTAGGTCAGGTCGAGTGCAGGTCATCAGGTACATGAGGCAGCCCACAAGCTCTGGATACGGGCCACTCGGCTCTACGGACTCGTCCGAAGGTGGAGCTGAGAGCGAGTGACCGGTAGGTAGAGGAGTGGACTGTGGCGAGGAGTACGTGAAGCGAAAGCGCTGAAGGACCTGCTGCACCATGTGTGACTGAGTCAAGGTAATGGTGCGCTGTGCTCTGTCCCGGGTGATCCGCAAGCCAAGATAGCTTGTCAGCTCACCCAGGTCTGTGCACGTGTGTCTCTTATGCAGCTCCGACTTCACGTGGGCGAGTGCCTCAGTGTCAGCAGTAGCAAAGACCAGGTCTTCTACATAAACGAGAACGTAGAACGGCGGCAGAGTGGTGTCGGTGCGTAGAAACAGCGACGGGTCAGCAGTAGAAGGAGCAAACCCAAGAGCAGCAAGAGTCGTCCTCAGTGTGTCGTGCCACTCACGGGGTGCCTGGCGGAGACCGTAGACTGGCCGCCGGAGGCTCCACTGGGTACCAGGAGGAAACGACCCAGTGAAGCCAGGTGGGCGGCGCAGCCAGATCTCGTGCAGGCTGCCCTGTAGGAAAGCAGTGCTAAAGTCAAGAGAGTGGAGCTCGTAGTCACGCTGAGCGGCGACGTGCAGCAGAACCTGAAGAGTAGTCATCTTCGGGGTAGGGGAGAAGGTCTGGAAGAAGTCAACTCCCTCACGCTGACTGAAGCCTCGTGCAACGTAACGCGCCTTGAAGACAGGCGGAGAACCCGGCGGCCGCTTCACCCTGAAAATCCACATGCCACTGACGATGTTCGCCCCAGGCGGGGGAACGTCGTCGACGTAGGTGCCTGTGGACTTCTAGGAAGCCATCTCTGCGTCCATGGCTGACTGCCACTGAGAGAAGTAGGGACCCTCTATCGCCTCTGCGTAAGAGCGCGGGGTCGGGATGTCTGGTGCATCCGGGTCTCCCTCAGGGGCAATCAGCATGGACACGAGATGAGGTAAAGCAGCGGCAAAGCACTCAAACTCCTCCTGTCTGTCCTCAAGGACGTCGGTGCCAAGAGCACTCTCACCCCCGACGGACGGAGGACAGAAAGACTCAGACTCAGCAACAAGACTCGCGGCGTAGTCTAGACGACAGTGAGCAGCAAAGTCGACAAGCTCAGCAACTAAGGCAGACGCAGCAGTGGACTCAAAGGAAGGGTCAGTGACAACAGTGGCCAGGAGACGCGTGACAGTAGGACTAGCACCACGAAGGGAGTCAGACTCTGGGTCAGCAAGAGCAGGAAGAGAGGACGCAGGAGGAGACGGCAGAGGGACACGCTGTGGAGCAGTGGAAGGACGAAGCGCCATCTGGTGTGTGCCTGGGACAGCAGGAGGACGCTGACGCGGAACACGACGACCAGTGCGAGCAGCACGAACAGGCGACGCAGGACGAGACTCAGGCGACGCAGGACGAGACTCAGGCTCACGACGCTCCGTAAGACCTCCGGTCGGACCAGTGTAGG